ACACTACACACTCTAAATATATGCCACACTCATTGTCGCTCACAAATGTGTGGGTCACACTCATTTCTGAACGACAATCAGTGTGAGCATAATTACAGCATAGCGATTTTATTAGTGTGAATTTTTACTTGAGAAATGCGTATGAAGTCTTCATACAAATTCGTAAAACTATTGTGATTGTTCTATCATTTGTATACTTGCACTGACACATAAACGCCTAGCATGCAAATGTGATAACTACAACTAAAGGAATTCGTTTTCTTTGTATTATCTCCAAAAAAAGATGATTGATTCATGGAAGAGAAAAAACAATTCATTTTTTTTAGTTATTCTTTATTAAAAGCAATTTTTACAATTGATTTTCAGCAAGACCCGAATGGAAAAATGTTTTTGTTTAGCATTTATGCAAAATCTACAAATATAGGATAGGTTCACATCTTCCCGAATCTTCATCTCTTTCTTCCCCATCTGGACATGGAAAAGTGATGGTTGTATGAGGATTAAATATTGAATTTTGTGGAATCGTTCCAGATGGTTGCTCTCCAGATTGCTGGCTGCCCGCTGTCAGCAATAGGCAACATAAGGCCAAAAATACCAAAATCAATTTCATTCCTGAAAATATAGTAGTTAAATCGCTTTTTGTATATATTGCATTTGTTCGTTGGAAATATTGCGAACAATCGGAATTTGCATTAAATAAATTTTCGGAATTAAAACAATTAAGATTTATCAATCTTAATGAAATTCAATAACGGACACACTACTCACTTTTCGAATATGTTTACTTGTGTAAATAAACTGAACTCAACTCAAGCGATCAAGCTCTGTTACTCCAACAGCGTACGTTCGCTCGAAACTTTGAAACATAACTGATTTGTAGTATAAATTTGGGTGTACTCTAAGACAAAAATGTATGAAATACACATGCTATCAATCTACATTTACACGAACACTGTGAAGTGTCCATTGTGCACAGTACAGGGTGCACAGTGAGACAATTTATAGAAAAATATCAAATAATACAAACGCAATTTTTAACGTAACTGATTAAATTCGAAAATGTGTCTCATTATCGAAAGGGAAATCACTTAAAAGTAATTGAAATGTCACAAGTAATTGTGATAATAGAGAAGTAATTTTTCCCGAAAAAAAGTAATTGAGGTAGATGTCATTGAGACATCTTGGACATAGTTTGGTTGTGTCTGTTCGCCATAAACCACATACCCGAAGTATTCTTGGATAAATAAATAATGATCTAAAATGAAAATGGAAAAATATAGTTTGGTGTGGGCTCAATTGCGTTCTTTTTTTCAAATGCAACATGACTCAAAAGGAATTTGTATAGAATTTATTTTATACCTTCGAAATACTCAACTAAAACTTACTTCAAGCTCAATATCATATCTTTTGGTATTTCAAAACCAATGTTTAACAATGTTATAGACCTCGAGCACTATAACTTTGCTGAAGACATCAAGTTGTTATCTCTTATCAATTCCGCGGAAACCATGAAAAACCGCAGAGGCTAGACGGGATGCCAACAAACTTCCTTTTAACGCAGATAGAATCAACAGAAAACATACTTTTCTTTTAAAAAATATAAATCGACAAAAAAACATACATTCTTTTACGTCTCACGAATAGATATACACATACATGTGTGTGTATCTCATGAATCAAACGGAATATTATTTTATATTCATTGGAATATCAATTATCAAAGTATTTCTCGCATTCACACTTTGAAAGACATTATTGGTTTGCATTAGTATGTGACATTAGGTTGGAAATAACAAATACACTTTTCATTGATGATTCAATTTCATTAATTGGATCAAATAATGTATAAAATAATACGATCAAGGAAGCAGCAATATACACTTTCTAACAATCTTATACTTTGGAACAACCGTAATTCAATATAATATAGAAACAAAGTAGCTAGGATGCGCGCATTTTTCTAGAATCCCAAAAATTGATCGGATGTCCATTGAATATGATTGAAAACAAAACATCACTTAAATTGCGCTGAATGATTTTGTTTGCCTCGCGCTACTTAATAGAGTAATTACACGTATTTTGAATCAGAGGAAAAACCTCTAGACGAGGTTGAAATAGAGTGACGCTCCGTGCGTAGCCCGACGAGAAATTTGCGGTAAAATAGGTGTACGTCGACACTCCGTCGCATATCCGCGGATACTCGCAATGCGAATAGGAATCCACAATAAAAGTTGCCGCAAAATGTTATCGCTGAATACCCTGCGACTATTCGCGCTGCGAACAACAGTACAGTTCCAACCTGAAGTTGGCTGCGCATGACATTTCAGAGTATTCGCAGGGTACTCGCCAACTATCCGCAATACGATTATTCGCAAATTTCTTGTCGGGTAGATTTACCACTCAAAATGACTGATATCATTTTGAGTGACGCTAGGACGCTGTATTACTGGGAACGAAGTTCAAAAGTGTTTTTCGCATTAACTATTGTGAAAATTTATTTACAATAAGGAAAAATATCGCATCACGACTTTTGAATTTAGTCTTCAAGTCAAGCTATAAAGCGTTTTGCCGTCCAACAGATTTTATTAGTGTGAATTTTTACTTGAGTTCAAACGTGGACTTTGTTTCCGATTCGAAGTTGGTTTGAATGAAAAAACGGATCAACTTTTGAATGGATGATTTTTTCAAAAAAAAATTTCACCGAATTTTCAAATTCATATTCGAATCATATAAAACCGTAATTTTCTCTCATACATCTCGATTGAAAATGAAAGCAATTTTTTTGTCTAGTGTGCCAGCGGCATATTTGCACAATTTTATTTGGCAAAATCGAAACATTTTTATTTATTTAAAATTCAAATAAAAATTATTATTTCACCACACAACACAATGACGACTATATTTGACACTGCATTGAATACACTCATCAATGTAGTTCCCCTCAAAATGTGTGGCGTTGTTGGTTTGACGTTTAATGAGACTATCGCGGTGGTGTCTACTTTCTTCACAAAGGAGTTATTTTTTCTGAAAATTGTTGAAGCGCTATACTTTTTCACTCAGAAAATTTACATTTTGCTTTAAAAAATGCATCTTTTACTCCAAAAATCACATTGGTATCGAAAAAGTTCATTTTTCCAGCAAAAATGTTACTTTTTGAGTCGAAAATATCAGTTTTATGCTTAAAAAATAGTTTTCGACTCGATTAACTTGAACTTAAACTCGTAAAATCCTATTTTTGGACCAAAAATTCCATTACTGACCCATAAAATCCTCCTTTTTTAGAAAAACGTTTATTTTACGCAGAAAAACAAATTTGAATTGAACGAAACTGCCATTTTTTAACTGAATTCATTGCAGAGCCTAGAAATTAATATTCATTACTTCAATGAGCTGCAAAATGTAAGTTTGTTTGAAGAAACGAACAAAAAATTCAAAGAAATCGAAGCTCGTTCACCACTCGATATCAATATATTGGCTCTTGTCTTCGATGAGTGTCGTTTTCCACGTATCTAATTGCATTTCTTCCATTCTCAATGCAAATACAAATTCTCTCATTGTAAATACACCACAGGCCATAAGTTTGGATACCCCTATGAATGAATTTGGCCCAAAATTTTTAAATTTCAAACCGCTTGTCCAATTTCAACATGCTATACGTCGTTGGAAAGGTCTCGGAGAGTACGTTTCATTTTTGGTATTAAACATCAAAATCGGCCAGCTTTTGGCCAAGATATGGCTGATTGAAGTTTTCGGCCAAAAATTACAAACGGCCATATCTTGGCCAAACGCAAGCCGATTTTGATGTTTAATACCAAAAATCACATTTACTTTTCAAGACCTTTCCAATGGCGTATATAACTTTTTAATCCGATGGCCCGTTTAAGACTTCGATTTTGGGTTCCACAGCTCAAAGGCCAAAAGATGGCCATAGGCCGATATATTTTCATATCCAATACTAAATTTCAAGTGAAAATGTTCAAAAAACGTAGAAACAAACGTTTCATAGGGGTATCCAAACTTATGGCCTGTGGTGTACATCTCTCCAGTTGAATACCGTACGCATTTTTTTATTTAGCAACTTCATCGTCGTAACGCTTGATTTATTTCGTCGTCGTCTGATCGTGGCCCTAATTAGCTATTTATTGCGAAAGATGATGCGCTCATAAAACGAAACAGGATTTTAATGAACGGCCAAATTACTTCACGGCGCATCGCTTCATGCGAAAAGAACAAACTAATGAGACTCTTGAGCTCGTCTGGAATCAATCAATGAATAGAGAGAGAGAGAGAGAGAGAGAGAGAGAGAGAGAGAGCGGAAAAAAACGGAGTTGTGGATTGAAGATCAGATATCGATGTCAATCGATAAAAATGATGCAAAAATCGTTGCCAACCATGAACCGATTCGAATGCATCAATTCAAATAGTGTGTCACTTCGCTTCGGGGTACACGTTGAATGACGAGTAGAAAAATGCATTGACGTGGAAAAATCCGATAAAAAATCGATTCATTTCAATTGCATCCGATCGATCCATATATTATGCGCACGCAGAGCATAGACACACGAGAAGATGATCCGGCACAAAATCGTCATTTGTAACGGCAAACAATGACAACACACAAACACACAGCGCTCTTGTGTGTTTTTTTTTTTTGCGTCATTCAATCATATATGTCAAAAGGTACGCAAAAAAAAAGACAACCCAGAGACCAACAAATGAATAATAATGATATCAAATGCGAAAAGAGAAAGTTGCGACGCAGAGACAGTGTGGCAAAAGAAAGATTGCATTTCATGGCACGGCAACAGATCATCAAAGGGATGCGAGAGTTGTCTTTTGATTCAATTTTCCCTTCGAACATTCAATTGTGTTTGCAGTGCAGATCTTCGCAGAAAATAAAAACCATTTATCGTCGACGACGATTCAATTTCGGAAGGAGGCTTACATTAATATTTTATTACTGTTGTACGGGTACAACTTGCATTCAAAACACACTAGAACATGATTCAAATCATTTATTTTATTTATTTCGAACACGGCTTCGTTTTAAACTACGGACTTGATGCAATTTGACATATTTATTCAATCAGCTGGACACGATTGGAAGTAACCAAGTTTGCGGATGCGCTCGAAATTTGCTTCGATATCGTAGTTCCTGTACGAAGAGAGAAATGGAAGAGATGTAAATTTTGCAGCAGTGCTTGGAAGAGATATTGTTTTTATTTACGAAGAAATATTTTTCATTCTTTTTTTCTACTTTTCCAAAAAATAAAGTCAACTTTGACTTAATGTATTCATTTAAAGTACTTGCATTCTGTTCTCTGAATGGGAAAAAAAGGTGCATTCAAATTCGATCAAGTATTACATTCGATACTCACTTGTAATATTCAGCATAGGCATGCTGGCGCGGATCATTCACGGCAAATTTGACGAGCACAACCCATGCAACGGCATATGCAATGCTAAGACTCAAATGTTTCATCATGAATTTATGGTGACGACCTTTCAATAGTGGCCGTGCTCCACCGCTCGATTCCAAAACTGCACCACTTCCCATCTGAAAATGGAAAAAACAAATTTGGTCGATTTGGAGTCAAGAACAGTGGTCAAAGATAAGAGATGTCCACGGCGTTCGTTCCCAAATTTTTTTCTTTTTGCGAACGAACGAACGAAAATGCGAACATTTTCGGTTCGTGGACATCTCTATCAAAGAACTTCATTGAATAAAACGTTCACAATTCTACGATAAAATATGAATGAGATTCAATTTTTGAATTATGAACACGCGAAATAACTTTAAATTAGAGAAGGAACAAAGAGACATTTATTTTAAATTAGTCGACTTCTCCGTAATAACGAACCGGGATCCTAAAAATGGACATAAGAAAGAATTTAACGTGAAATTATTCCGCAATTGAAGGGAAGTCGAAACTTTCGTGCGAGTGAAACACAGTCATTGAATCGCTATCACGCAAGTGAGAGCCAAATCTCAACAAAATCTGAAATCTGAACTTTGAATGTTTTTTTCAAACGAAATCGTTCATTCTGTACTACTTCTGCATAGTCTAAGTAATATAGAATCCACATCCACAGTCAATTATATTTGACAGAGCTCACGCGATGCGTGCGACACAAACACAGCACGAATCGCGTTAGCTGTGAAAACGGCGAAAATGCACAGGTTTATTTTAAACGCGAGTTAAAAATAGGAGTGCATTCATAATGCGATTTTTTTTGTATTTGCGCGAAAGAGTGAATCGGAAAAACAGAGTCGCAGTTGAAAGAGTATTCGTTGCGAGCAGTGAGTGCATTTGAAATGAGACGCAAAATTGAATGTGCAGGTTCAGTATCCAATTGACGCGAATGAATTTGTTTCATCCATTGTTGACTTGTTCTTTGCTTTCTCTGTCGAGATTTTCTATCATATATGCATTAGAAGGTGCTCTCTCGTGTAGAGAGACACTACACTCTTGCGGCACTGTCTACTGAATGCACAACGAAATGCAGCTATGAAATACTGCGAAAAAAGTGCAGAACCGTGAAAAAGAGTACTTGGAACATTTGCGTGTGAAAAGAAATGGCAAATTTTCCGATTTCTTTTACTTTCTCTCGTTTTCATTTTCCATGTAAATTCACTTGAGATGCACCGAACTTTGAGTTTTGAATGGCAATTTATTCCTCTGGTGAGTTTATTCTCGATTTATTTCGACTTTTTTCATTTTCTCTTCAGTTCGCCTTTTCTCTTTTGGTATTTCTTCCTTTTTCTCTTTCTTTTGGTGTTTTTTTTTTGCTTTTTCGCGCTGTTCTTTTTCTTTCCCGACGTTTTTTGCGTTTTTCGCGCTGGTTTTATTTCCTTTTTGGTGAATTTTCCTCGTTTTTCTTGCTTCTCTCTATTATTTCGATGTTCACTACTTGCTGTTTCTCTCGTTTCTTTCCTTCAACGTTTAATTTGCTTGTTTTTACGTTAGTTTTCCTGTTTTGATTGTATTTTTCCTGTTTTCGTCTTAATATTTCCTCTTTTGAATTCGATTCTCAGCGGAATATCATCAAAATGTGTGAATCATGTTATTTTTATTGGATCATTTGTAATTTTTCCACCGAATCAACCCATAACTTGCGCTCAAGTCTGTAATTCTTTGTTATTACGTGCATGTCCTATGTATTTTCAGTGCAAACTACGAAACTCTCAACTACTTTGCATGCATAAATTTATGTTCCTTCGCTTTTGAAACTATTTCTGTGGTAAATTATTATTTCCGTCTTTATCGTATAAACTATTTCTCAATAATTCATAAGTTATCACCGCATAAAAGTTACTTTTTCACTTTTGAATTATAACTTTTTTTTTCACTCTCTCACTTGCTTGAACTTCCGCATATAAATTTTTTACTTGCTTTTGCGAATTACGTAACTTGCCCACTGGTCGTAAGATTTGGTTCTTCTTTTCTATCTTTTGCTGACTTTTATAAAATCTCACAACCAACGTCAATTTAAATTGAAATTGCCACATTTCGAACGAATTCCAAATGAAGCAACATTTCGAGAAGTTTCGGCTGGAAACTCACTTTTCACATTGAGAATTTCAAGAGAAGCCGAATTCTTTACTTACATTGTAAATGTGCTTGAAAAATTCCCAACAAAACACGATCTCAGTTGCGCGAATAAATTGAGAATGAGCGCTAATTGACGTTTGAATTAACGATGACAATGTCAAGCGATGCATCGTGAAGAGTCGTGTAAAACGCGTGACAGTTGAAAAAGCGCAAGTGTCGCAATTCTCGCCGCAAATGAAACAATTGAAGCGCTAAATTTGAGACAGATTCTGGACGTTAACAGAGAAATTCAAGAAACGGTAAACGTAGTGATCAAAACCGCGACTTAAATCAAAGAACCAGGTCCAGAATGTCTCTTTAATGAGCCATATTCGAAGATTTGTCGCTAAGAAGCCACACTCAGAATTATTCAAGTGGAAACCAAACTTCGCTTATTTTTGGTCCTGTTTGAGAATAAAACACGTTTTTCATTAACTTAACGAATTTCAGTATTTTCGTCTTCTTCGATAGGTTTCTTTGAATGAAACTTGAATGTTTCCTTTAGTTTTGGTTTTGTTTACACAAAAAGACGATTTTTCATTTTTTTTTTTCATAAAAAAAAGTTGACAAAATGCAGAAGAATCTTCTCCTCCACCTTCTGAAGATGAAGAGAAAGAAAAAGAAGGAGTCGATGACGATGGAATTCATTCGCTAAAAGAAAAAACACCCGCAATGGCAGCAAAATTTTGCGTCGTCTCATGTTCGCATCATTAAAATTGTATTGTGATTGCGTTGGGTCTGGTCTGCGTATTTGTATGCGATTCAATGTTTGTTGACTCTTTTCTTTCAATGTTGCAACAAAACCCAGAGACGCGGTTGAATTAAATAGATTGTTTTAGTTGAATGTGGCTTGGGTTGCCATTCACATTTCGTTTGAACGATTGCCAAAACACAAAAATGCCCGAATCATGATGCGAGCGGCTGCTAAATTGACAACAACAAAAAAACTTTAAGTGAAAAAAAAGGAATTTTCAATGTTGAGCAATTATGACAAATGTTTTTTTTTCCATTGGTTCTCATCAAGGAGGATATGGAGTTTGGTGTTTGTAAATTGCTTGCAATTTATAATGGTCGTCTTTCTCTGTCAAGCGAGACATAAAAAAAACGCATCATTTGGGGTGATTGTAGTATCGATCATTTCGATGCCAATGCCGCTGCTTGTTTTTTTTTATCTTCAGTCTCAATCAAATGTTATTTTTTTTTTAAAGAAAAAAGTCAATGCACCGAGAGAAAAAAATGTGTCGATACGAGAGAAAAAAAAAATCGGAGCAAAATTCAGGAGTAATTCGTTGTTCATGTTAAAGCTAGGGTTTGCCGATACAAGTAGTCTAATGAGTGAAATGGAAGAAATGGCAACGTGTTCATCTTGGTCTCTATTGTCTGTTCACTCAGGGTCGATCAATCACCGTGCAATTTTCTTCAGAGCTGTCTATTCCGAATGCAGCACACAATTGGCAAAAAGAGAAAGGCGCAGCAGAGAAAAAAAAAAGGAATATTCCATGCATGAGTGATTGTAATTGAGACGAACGAATGCGAATGGAAAAAGGGAGAAAATTGTGAAACAGTTATTGCTTTCCGCCTTAATTTAGTACATCTTGCGCTGGCTTGCTTGACGTCTTGGCGCAGACAGAACACGAAAACAACATGGGAAATGTACTTGCAATAATAATTAAATTGTTTTCATGCTTCCAATGCCGAAACGACGCAGATCATAAATTTCAAATTATGATTATCGCCAACATTCGCTACGCCGCTGCAAAAATATTATTTTTCGATTATTTATGATTTTACTTTTGGAAATTGCCGAGAAAAAGAAATCCTTTCCTTTTTCGGCCAAGTCTCGGAACTCACTTCCTTTTTGGACCATTGTTCGAGCTGCTAAACGCTTATTGAACATGACATTTATTTGAATCGTTTAAGAAATTGCTTCGCTTCTTTTGCTGCTGTTGTTATTAATTATTCGATCGACGGTTTCGCATGCAGTCATGTGGACGCGAATGCGTGCATGCAGCCCATTTAATGCGAATATTTATGAGTTGGGCCTGCCATACAACTATCCCATTTACACTGTTTTGTGCATCCACACGGAAATTTTGCACTATTCAATCGCACTCATTCTCATTAGTTCAAGGTAATTAATGTATTTTAGATCTAGATGAAATTAGCATCATTTTTCATCGAATTCACAACCACAATCATGTCAATTTATGACAGACATAGAGAATATGTGCAGAGAAAACGATTGATGGAAATGTTTGAGCGAAAGGAGATCGATTCTATTTTGCACAGGAATTGCATCAAACTGAATTTTGTCCGTTTAGAAGGAAATTGATCGATTTTTCATGGTAATTGTTTGGAATCGAGACTATATTTAGCGGAAATGAGGGTTTTTAACGTCATTTTTTGCGGAAGAAGGGATTGAACTTGATAGGGAATCCGCATTAGGGATTGAAAGAAGAAACCAAAATGTGTAAGTTTGACTAAAAATCGACCAAAAACTTAGCAGAAAGCAACAAAAAATCAAAATAAACAGAAACAAACTTAAATCGGTCAACAGTAAATAAAAAAGGAACGAATTTACCAAAAAAATTAGCGTACAACCGACAAAAAATTACCGAAAATCAATTAAATATGAACAAAAATCAACCGGAAATTCACTTTGGAATATCAATACAGTTCAAAATGATCAGAAATTCAAACAAAATGGTTCGAAATTGGTCTAAAGAGTAAGAAAATGCGTCAAAATATGAGAAAAAAATGGAAAAATGATGATAATCATCGATAATCGTACAAAAGCGGGAATAAATAAAAGTTCAAATGAAAAAAAAATTATGAATTTTGCCGAGAAATGCACAAAAATGAGCATAAAAAGGCACAAATTGTCATGAAAATGTTAAAAAATGTTTCAAATGCCTAAAATTTAATCAAAATTCATAAAAACAATCAACAAAAAACGTAAAAATGACACAAAACGATTGAGAGAGTTCATTACCTATCAACAATAAAACAGCAAATGTCCATTCGACTGGTTTTTAGTGAAGAAACTGCATTTAACTGCAGAAGCCGTTCAAAAATTGACTTGAGTAGCTGATTCAAACGTCTGAATTGCCAAAAAGGTGATGAAATGAACAAAGATTTCGATCAAACCTCCAAAGGAACGCCCAAAATCAATGGCATCCTGTGAATTTGCTGAAAATGCGTTCATTGATCAGCCCAAGTTAAAGAAAGAACTGTGCGCAAATGGCATTTCAATTGCATTCTTTGACTCTATCGAAAAATGAATTTGAATTGCATTCTTTGATTCCCCAAAAAAAAAAATTCAATCATTCAGAGCATTTTGTTCTCGCACTCTCACAGAGCCGAAAATGAAAGAAAGTAAAAAATTGCCGAAATTCGTCTTGTGAATGCGTCAAGCAACAAAAAAAAGTTGTATTAAGCAAACAAACAAACAGAATGGGACTGCCTGTGGCTACCGAATGCAATGTATTCGATTGCATTGTTTTGCTTTTTGCATATATTCAAAACAGTGTTTCTTTGCATATATCGAGAGCGAATTTCTTGCGAGCAAGACTTTGAGTTCATCGTCTTTTTTCTCTCTCGTCATTCGATTAAGCCATTGAAATTTTTGGTTGAGTCGCTGTTGGGTTGAAAATTTTATTTTTGTTTATGGCATAAACAAAAGGCAAAGTCTCTGCCAAAAAAAAAAACACAGAGAGCACAAATCCTTTCTTTTGACTGTCGCCTTGGGCTATTTTCCGCTCAATAAAAAAACTAAAGCGCTCTAAGCCCATACGTGATTGTTTGGCGTTTCTTTCACGTCGAAAAATCCAACGTGCCATCGGTCTGTTGCTGTCGCTGTCTCGCCGAGTGCCAAATTGAGTTAAATTGATTAGAAACGGAGAATAAAAACAAATAAATCGTGAGTTTTTCTTGGTAACTGTCGACAGCAGCAAACAACGACAACAAAAGGTGGTTTTGATATTCAAATTGGGGTTCATCCACCAACCGTTTGTTCAAAATGCAAATCATCGGTTTAAATGATGGTTTCAATAAAAACGAAGCGAAAAGGGAGTGCGGTACACCCGAAACAACCACCGTCTCGTGTAATTGCCAAATTTCCATCTATTTTGGCACTCGCTCAAACAAAGCAATCCAGAGTGTTCAGCGGGAATTTCAATTGCATCATTCGATTTAAGTGGATTGCCACCATTAATCAATCACCATTAATCACTCACTTCGAATAGAAAATACACACATTTGAGTGCAATCTCTGCGTCAAAAGTGTAAATTTCGGTTACAATTGTTTCAATCGCAGTTAAATTGTTTCGTTTCATCATTTTAAGCTGTTAAAATAGTTAAAATTTGAGAAATTTGAACAGAGCCACCGCAAAAAGTACCGAAACGTGTTTGAAAATGTTCGATTTTGATTGATAACACCCTGAGCCAAGACAATCGCCCGCTGCTTCAACAGCACAGATAAATGCACATAGCATGAGTCATCACATTCGGTTGTGAATGCAATGCAAATGCAATTGGAAAGTGATTTTTCTCTCGCACGGTCGCTCACTTTCTCCGCAAGGGGTGAAAGCATCTCATGCTGACTCAACTTCAATTATTACTCGATTAAATGCCAATCGCACTCGTTTTCTCTTCCGCTTGGCCAATGTATGTGTTTACATTTTCGGGCTCGAACACGCACAATCGCCTAAAATGCTCTGGAATGGAAAAAAAATTACGATTTGAAAACGATTGCCAAGAGTGTCGCGCTAGTATCCAGCAGCGGTGCATTGTGGCTTTTTTCGGTGTTATTTTAAGTGCATTTCAATTGCTGTGTCACTATTCAAATAGACACAAAACAATTATGAACCCATTAAACTCAGATTCATCAAGCATTTTAACAATTTACACACGTACACGGACAACCATTGCCATTTTTCGAATGCATTTTTGCAATGTGCACGCGCGTCAAACACCTTTCGTTTCGACCGCAGAGAGAAGGAGAGAGAGTGTATTTCGATGCGGGCTGTGGAAAGTGGGCTGAATTGATGGACTTTTGTCGAATATTCTCTCTCTTTTTTGTCTAGTAAAATCAAACATTTGGTTTAATTTTAGGAAATCGAAATTGGCATTGCAAATTCAGTATTTGAATCGAAATTTTTATCCATTGCTGATTATCATCAATTTTAGTGTCTTTAAAAAAAAAAATGCTTCTACATTGCGAAAATTGTCCCTCGAAAGAAATTAATATTCAAGAAATTATCATTAACGTTATTCCTTTCCTGCTATAATACTTTGCCATGTCTTTAAAAGAGAAAAATTCTATTTTATTCCAAAGAAACATGATCATTTCTATCAATCAATTTGTTTCGACTTTTTTCAAAGAAACTTTATCGAAACATTGTGAGTTTTGTAAGGCATTACAAGCATTTAGTTACGTTATCCTTTGAAAGTTTGGAGCTTCAATGAAATTCGTTAGCAACCAATACTTACTAGGCATCAAAACATTAGGAGTAGCGATTTTCGTTAGATGGCGCCACCGAACATGTGCTATCGTCGAAAGGCTTTCAGGAACTTCAACTTTCAATTCCAATTGAAAATCCAATTGGATTTTAAACCGATTTTTCTGATATTTGAAACTTTCAAGTTTTCAATCAGATTCAAGTCCATTTCTATTTGAATCTAACTATTCAATGCGAGCTCATCTTTTTAGTTAACTAATAATAAAAGAAATCTTTGATTCGGAAGGAAAAAAAATGATTCATGAATATTTGGCCATCAGCTCGTGTACATCGTCCGATTACAATCTTCAATTGTAAAGCATTGGGCCAATACAAATGAAAAATTCCATTGAATGTTTGAATACTTAAACTTTTTTTTGGTCAGATGATGCATTTTGGTGTGTAAATGAGCCACTGAATTTGGAAAAATAAGTTAAAAGCATTTTAATTAAATCATTCAATTATTTCAAAATGGATCAAAGTCACACTGTTCTGAAGACTCTAAGTTGGGTTAGATTCTATTTCTAAAAGAAATATGCAGAAAACAGAGACATTTTTGTGTTCAATTGTTCAAGCAAAACATTATATTCAAATGGGCAAAACCTGTTTCGTCATCAAAATCAATTCGTTTTCTTAGAAAAAGTCGAATCAAAAATAAAACGTATTCATTTCTGCCACATCAGTGAATTGCTATTTTGACGATTCTATTTGGATTTTGATCATATTGTGTATTTCCATTCCGATCTTAGTTCAATAAATTGTTTATCATTTGCGCGTACGTGTCAGTTGTCTACTAAACATACTCTGCTGTAAATATTGAACATGCCAACCTATTATTTTATTGCTAAACCAATAATTTGGCTTTGATAAATATTATTTTCTGTTTCACGAACTGAAATGAACTTATTTGGATGTGAACAAACACTTTTTCTTCAAGTTTAGTCTAGAAAAAATGGAATATTTGCTGAATCTCTCCAAAATTACTCAAATCATCGCTAACTTGCTAACAACTGATGCGTAATAGTCGATGATTACAAAACGATCACCGTCATTTTTATCCATCATACACCTATTCCACGAATTTGAATTGTATCAACATCAACACGGAATTCCAGTGGACATTTTTTTGGCTATTCATTGAGATTTACGTTAACATTTTTTTTGTCTTTTTTTTCATTTTTCACCAACTTTGTTAAATGCTTCCATTATTTTTTTTTAATTCTTGAAAAGAACCCGTGTGGCAAATGGAAATTTCGACGACACTCTTGTCAGTAAATGAACGATCGATTAGCTTCAACCATATAGTAGTCGTAGAACGGTGACCAGAACATGAGAATTGGTACACTGTAATTGTCAAATAGTGAACAGTCATTCAGTGAAGGAATCATTTAATGGGAGGGGCAACAAGTCTGATCATCATAATAAAGCGGATAAACATCGCGTTATTCAAGTTATCAACTCATCGCGATTAAAACTGTTTACAAATAATAAGCATTAACATGTATCGGAAATCATCGATAAAAGAGAATAAATTCCACTGTCCTGAATGATGAACGACTTAGTTCGTTTCAGTGATTCAAAGGGAAAAGTGATATCAAGTCCAATATTAATTCAAGTGAACAAGTTTGAAAATTTGATTTGATACAAAAGTTTAGTTTATTGAAAGAAAAAAAAAAATACAGAATTACAGAAAAATTGCTAAAACAAAAAGAGAATAGAAAAAATTTTCAAAAATAAAAAGAAAAATTACCGAATTCAACGATTCTTGTTAAGAATATTCAAAGCAGCTTAGGATTAAACCATGAATTCTATTCTGGTGTTCGCTTTCTGCGTGGGAGTTGTTTGCACCGATGTGGCCACAGGTGATAAAAAGACATTTATCAGATTAGATCATATCCATTGAACATTTTCATCAACATTCATCAGTCAAGCGGACAATACGTTTATTTTTCGTATGTTCTTCAAATGATCAACGACATGAAGCTGTGATTTTTATGAAATTTTTTCTTCTTTTTTAGGATTTCAGGTTGACAGTTCGTAAGTATTTTAATTGTGCACACGTTGGATCTTTTAACTTAATCTTTATTTAATTTTGTTAAGCTATGGCAAAGACAATCAGTTGACTTATCAAACCGCAACGAGTAAGTTCGAAATTTCAGTTGAAATAACCGAAACTCAAACTGATGCTTTGATTCTTTTGTACAGATCCGCCGTCAATTTTTGAAAAATTACTTAACGTGACGACACTATGTGATTCTCTTTTCATCGGTACTTTACGAACACGGTATATTTAATGTTCAGAAGAAATTAAATTGTTTGTCATTTAACACGTAGGAAATGTGGAAATTGCTAAAAAACAAATCGAAAGCGGAGTTGAACTTGAAAACTTAGCTAAATGTGTGCCATTGAACGTCGCCGTGGAATACGGTAAGCGATTATTTGAGTCCAAGTGCATTTTACCTTGGCACATTTTTCGATTGTTAGAGTTAAAAGAAGAGATTTTTTTTTTCAAACATTGTTTATTGTGTAACGGATGGTGAATTTAAAATAAGTGTTAATCGATGTGGATTGATCGAATATTCCAAGAATTTCTCGAAAATGAAATGAAAATGAATAATTTTTCATTTTCCTTAGAAATAAAAACATTTGACAAAAATTGCAATTTCAGGTTATATGGATATTGTTCAAATGCTGATCGAAAAAGGTGTCTCAATTGATTCTATTGGATTATATGGTGAGACACCATTGCATATGGCCGCCACTTCCGTAGATCGCATAGATATTGCTCAATTACTCGTTGAACATGGAGCTGATGTTAACGCTAGAACTCCGGAAGATTGGACACCACTCCACGTCTCGTGTGTGTTTGGTTTTGTGGATATTACGAAGTTCCTCATTGAAAATGGTGCCGATGTTAATGCGAAAGGCATGGAAAATGTCACTCCACTTGGAATTGCTTCTTATAGCGGTATGTCGAAGCAATTCACTTTTTCTTCTCCTTTTCTTTTTCATTATTTTCCGATTTAATCATCAGTTTCCATTGAAATGTCGCCTACTTTCGATTTAATCGACCTTTCGATTTAATTCGCTCTCAAGATCGTTTGGGGAGGAGAATTTGATTCGATTTTTATGATTTTCAGGTGAGGCAGCAGTTGGAAGCATTCTTATTGAACAAGGAGCCGATGTTAATGCCAGAGATTATGAAAATGAAACGCCATTGCATTTTGCCGCTGGTGAAGGTATTGGCATATCAAAAAACCAACTAAATCAAAGACCAAAGCAAATTGCATCAAAAAGCATGATTAAAAGTTCAAACCCTCTAACGAGATTTTTTATATTTTTCTGTCATAAATCAAATGATATTTTTAGGTAACGATGACATGGTTAAATTGTTGATTGATCATGGAGCGATTGTTAATGCGAGAGATAGTGATGATCAGACACCACTATTCTGGGCTTCGGAGGGCGGTAAATATTATATATTTACTGAATTTGATCATAAAAATACAAATCCAAATGCGAATAAATCCCATTTCAGGTTACGGGGCATCCGCGAAAATTTTAATCGAGAATGGTGCCAAAATCAACATTAGAGACGTTAATAGCTCATCACCGCTTCATATAGCTGTTTCTGAAGGTCATTTTTATTTTTAAAAAAAGTTCAGGAAACCCAAACATCATTCAAATTAATTCAAAATCAACTCGAATTCAATTCGTTTTTTTTAGGTAAAATTGAAATTGTTGAACTTCTCATCGAACACGGCGCCAAGGTTAATGTCAAAGACATTGATGGACAAACCCCGCTTCACTTGGCAGCTTTTGAAGGTAATTGGAGATGTTTGCGTTATTCCCTTTCAAAAATTTACTGACCACCTGTTTTAGGCGATGTGGAAATTGCTGACATACTTATTGCAAATGGAGCTAAGACGAAAGTCAGAGACAATGACGGAAAAACACCACTGGACATTGCCCAACAGAATGGTAACGTATTTTAGTTTCAAAAAATTGCATAGAAGTTTGAACCAAATCGTGTTTTTATTTATTCATGTAGATCAAGTTGAAGTCATCGATTTATTGAAGAAGCTTGAAAATCCAAAGATAATTTATGCACATTGATTTGTTGGCTGTAAGGTGGTCGATCGATTCAAATGAAATATGTCAATTTATTAATAAAGGAATGAAAGTCAAATTCAAGTTTTGTAGCGGATGATTTATTATTTTAATAGACCAACATTTTCAGTATATGTGCACAAAAATGATGGAGAAATCAACGAGAAATCGAAGCAACAGAAACCAAACGACGTTGATCCAAATGAAATTGCCGTTGCTGTAGATGATCAAAACGAAGAGTCGCCGCCGGCGATTTTCAAGCTGAATGCCATTTGCTGTGACGATCTCTTTGAATAGCTTTCATTCAAGGATCTGCATTCACTCGGCCGAACATGCAAGCGATTGGATCGACTTACCGGTCTATATTTTAAAGAGAATTTCGGAAAGGCGAAACTTGAATGCAAAAATCAAAATATTTATTATGGCAATAGTAGTCTGAATGGGTTCATTCAATATGTCCAGAGTGTACAATTTCGGGCATCAAAAAAGGAAGATTTACAGTATATCGGAGAAAATTGTGATTCACTTCGGAAAATTTGCTTTGAATCGGTTGAATTGACTTAAATCAAGATAAATTACATCAAGGGAAAACTGGATAAAGTCGAAACGGTTAAATTTTTGTGGCATTTGCACTTTATTAAATAAACCTTATGATAATGGATTTTATAAGCGATTAGAATTTGGAATTTACATTGGTTCAGCACGTCAAGTTTGGATGGATCAAATCGATATATTTCGTGGTTTTAAAAAGATATCCAGCTTATTTGAAGCACGCTTGGTTCCACCAAAGATGATCATCCTTGAAGAACTAAATATTTTTCATTCAAATTTGAACGACATTGAGTTAGAAACAATGACAGTGTCTTTTCCAAATCTACAACAAGTTCATTTGGAGATAGCATTAACAATAGATGAAATCCTTCCATTTATTCGACGATTACCAAAATTGAAGGAACTCAGCATTGAATTCATTCACGCATCTCAAATCGATCTATCAGCATTAAACGAGGAACGAATACGCGTTTTCGTATTCAGCCAGAAGTCGAACTAACGAAAATCTCAACAACAATGATTATAAAATTAGGAATATTTTACATAAAAATGCTCCATCAATGTAACAATTAAGTAATAAATAAAAAGTGGGTAAAAGTTGTGTTGTTGTAGAAGACGGTAGAAGAAGTAAATAACCTACAATTTAATCTTTTTTCGGAGAAATATGACCCGAAATCTTATTTTTAGTTGATCCATCGCCAATGTTCGGTCTTTTTTTCCACTATACACTAAAACATGTACATAATCTAGGCCTGTTTCAGAAATTTAAGGTACCCTTTATACTATGGTTTGCAATGTTCCACTCAAATGCACTAAAAAGTAGGTATCGAACCTGACGCAAACGTTGAATTTCGAAATCTGGATTAAGTCCAAAAAACCTGGCGTACTGGAAACTAGCAGACGGTTACTTCTAAATAATTCGGCCGAAAAATCTAATTCTTGTGCTATACCAATCTCTGCTCTTTTTGAAAAAATAATATAAAAAATCCCTGGATATGTCTGTTAGCGCCAGTATTGTTCATGAAGTGAAAGCGTAACATACAGTGATTTTCAAAACGGTTAATCCTCTGGAGAACTGAACAAAATTGAATGTCAGAGATTTTTATAAAACTTATCCCTGTCGATATTTTAGCTGAAATATACAAAAAAAGCGAAAAAGTGATTTACTTCTATAAATTGACGACATTCATAGTAAAAAAAATCGCTACTAATTTCTGTTCCATTTCGTTTGTTTAATTTTTGCTTTCAAAAGCAAAACGACACATTTTTATAAGGTTAGCTGTATTTGTTTTTGTTTGATTTTATGAACGAAATGCGAAAATTGATTTTGCATCTGATATTTGTCATCGAAATCAGTGTGTACATTTTTATTAAATCATTTACATGTTTTTTTGTTCTTTTCTTCAGTTTTATTTTTCTATTTTATTGGCAATGCCTCGACGGCGTACGCTAACAGGGAGGATAGAGAGAAACAGAAATAGAGAGGAGACGCGGGCAAGAAGGAAGAGAAACAGGGAACTTCAGCCCAGCACATTTCATACATTGATTGCCAGTTTGTTACTTCCATTGGGAAAACAAAAAGGTCCAATAACAACCGGAATCAAAAGTAAACATTGTGAGTATTTAACTAAACAATTTGAATTAAATTTGGTAACCACACAAAATGAAGAAAACCAAAATTCTGAAACAGCTAAACGCCAAAAAAAAAAATTGATACCGCCAAAAATTTGTAAAAGTCTTAGGCATTCTATACAATAAACACGATTGTGCATATTTGAACTTTTATGCGTGATTGTGCATCCTAAAATAAAAACAATTATCAATTATGTTCTATGGAATGGAACTTTAAACTAATTTTTCTGATTTTTCTGCGTTTTTGGTTTTCGGAATTTCTTTTTCGGCGTTTTGCTGTT